TTACCTTGAAAATTGTCATTTGCATGTGAAAATATATCTTTATGTTTTATTTTGACTTCTTTTTGTTCTTAGCGACATTTTTGACCTTGAAAATTGTCATTTGCATGTGAAAATATATCTTTATGTTGACTTTCTGACGAAACTTAGATGCTACTTGTTCCTGTTAAAGAAACACTAGTCTTTAGGTCCTTACTCTGAAACAGTGACGTATCTCTGGTAGTCGCTAACGTGGGGAGGATACTTGCAAAAGACACTTCGATGCAGAAGTCAAGATTCGGTTCTGAGTAATAAATGGTATTAAATAATGAAAAGTCAACCATTTACCTATACTTTTACCTTCTTTATATAGGCATTGTAACGGGTTAATGGGCCTGTCAAGCTAGTTTTGATTTTAGCCCTTTATTTAAAATAAATAATATCTTAATTATTACCCTAAATTAGGTTTAATTACCTCTTAATCCTGACGAAGGGTATCCGGCCAAATTAGGCCGAATAAGTACTCAGTTTCCTTTTCTTACAAGTAGAACCGAGTTGATCCCTATCCAGTACACTAGCTCCCAAGCCCGAAGAGGTATGAAGTGAGGGCTTTAAATAATTAGAAGAGGCAGACAGTTGATTAGGATTAATTTGAACAAGATCGAGGAGGGTACTCGGTATTGAATGGATGAGTGGTGGTAGTATTTACATTTGACTGATGTGCATTGTGTATACCGAAGGGTATTCGGTTTAGTAACAGAATGATGGAGACCGAGACAATAAATAAGAAATGATGATACAAAAATAAATAATTATGAAGGAATATTCTAGAATGTTAGCCGTTAGGGCTTCCTCGGTGTGTAAGAAATGAAAGGGTGCCCAACTTCATCCGTTGATCTGAAAAGGATCTAACGGTTCAAAAGGAGGGGCGTCTTTTCGTTTACCCGATACCAGATCCCCTATAAATATATGGTGGTCTCTGCATCCATTTTTTACTCTTTTGCTCTGTACTAAAACGTGCAAATTGTTGCTCCAAACCGAAGGGTATTCAGAGATCTTCACTTGTTCTTCCCTACCGACTACTTTTAAGGTGCGTTCTAATTTCTCATTTCCTTTTCCTTCATGGCCGAACCTATTATGTGGGAGGATTCTCTGTCCAATGTCTCGAAACCGAATACTGTCGAGGTAGACATTATGAACGAAAATGAGGGGAGTGGCGAGGTTTTATCCATACCGAACGAGAGGGCTGAAGAAGCACAAGTCAGGGAATGTAGCAACGAGGCTGAGTCATCTGCTTCAAGTGATATTGACGTTTCTGAACTAGCCCCCTAGGGAAAGACAGGTGTTTCCCCCCTGTACAATACCTGGATACGAGTGGGTGCATAGTGAAGTGGCCGCATACTTTTCTCGTTTCCAAAGAAATAAAAGTCTTCAATTTTTTGTAGATAATTGTGACATTTCCTTGTGGGAGGCCTTTGAGCCGTATCCGATATGCCTCAATCCCTGCAAAGGGGACAAAACCGAGAACTATGAATTTGTTTTCTTGGGGGGCGTTGGAATGGCCGACACCTTCTTTATGTATGAATATATGTTTAAGGAGTTAGGTATTAGGCTACCCTTTGGTGACTTCCAAATGGGAGTTTTGAGGGTTTTAAATGTAGTGCCAACACAACTTCACCTGAATGGGTGGGTGGCAATACAAGCCTTTAGGATACTTTGTAAATTCCATTATATAAAACCTAGTGTAGGTCTATTTCTTCATTTCTTTTGTACGCGCCCATCAGACTTAGCAAGGTGGGTATCTTTAATAAGGCAACCTGAGTTGCCTTTATTTAAACCTTATACTTCATCCTTCAAGGGCTTCAAAACCGGCTACTTCAAGGTGACCGTGGACCCTGTAGGTAGAAATTATTTTTTTGATAGCGAGAATAAGCCCCTCTTCCCCTTTCATTGGACTCGGACGCCTCGCTGATATGACATATTCCCCGAGGACATGTTATCGGCTAAGGAGTTGTCAGACTTGGAATTTTTGAAGTCCTTCCCCCGGGAACTACTTGCCCGACATATACTCCTCGTGCTCAAGTCTCCACGTCCTCGTTGGGATATGGAGGGTATGTATCGTCTTGATTTTAACTTATATTTTCAATCAAGTTGTATTGATTTGACTTATTGTTTTTAATGTAGGCTTAATGGCTCAGCGAGGTGTTAATGTACCAACCTTCCATCGTACTTTGAAGCAGAGGACGCCAGAAGGTACAACAATTGAGGAGCACCGACACCCTCAAATTGATCAACTTCCCGAAGTATCTGAACCTCGCCCTCCTCCCCAAGACCTAGTCCTTGCAGAAAATCAGCCCAAGAAGTGCAAAGACAAAGGCAAGGGCAAGGAGACCGAGAAGGAGAAAGAGAAAATATGTCCATTCGGGTGGGCCGAATGCAGCAGAAGGGGTACGCAAGCAAACCCGATCGGAAGCTACTGAAGGGGCGAGTAGTTCCTCCACTCCGGTAGTTCTTCCACTCCGGTAGTTCCTCTGGATATGCTTACCGAGACCTTCCTAGCAAATGGAACTCACGCTGGCCGGCTAGCTGCTCCTAACCTATTGTCTAATTCGGGAAAAGAGTTGGTCAACAGTTTAGACTTTGAATCACTCTGGCGGTGCTATGTAGAACTTCAAGTACGATCGACAGCTATGCTTCAAAGGCTGGTTGTTGATCCAATTCTTGAGGTGAAGAATATGCAAAAGGCGTATTCGACTTTGCAAGAAGCCCTAGCAGAGAGCTGAGAGACTCAATCCAGCCTTGGTGAGACCATTCAATCCTTGGAGGCTGAGGTCAATCAGTACAAGGAGCACTACCGGATAGTGGAGGGACGAGTCAAAACGGCTGAGGGAGCTCTGCGGACGAAAAAGGACGAAATAGAGGCACTAAGGGTAAAGTCTGCTCAAATAGAGGAAGCACTAAGGGCCAAATCGACCGAGATGGAGGAAGTCTTGGCACTTGAAAGGCAGAAGGCTGAAACCGATCTGAAGGCTTTTGCCGCAAAGTGTTCAGAGCAAGTTGCCTTTGAACACGAGTCTGGTTTTAAGCATGTTGTTCGTCAATGTCATGGATTCTGTCACGTCCCAACCGACTTCCATTTTGACATTACTAAAGACTTCTTCGGTGGCCGGTTCATACCTTACACTGAAGTAGATGACGATGTAGAACCGGATGCCGAAGCCCCTAGCCGCGCTGATGATGAAAACGCTCCTGCTCTCGAGGGCCCTGGACCAGATGGTGGGGAAGGGCAATCTTAGAACTATTTTTTTTGTACTTTCGGGCCAATAGTGCCCCAATTTTGTAATTCTATTGAATTTTTTAAATACACACTCTTGTCTGCTATTCTTGCATATTGAATTTTGAAATACAATTTTGTAAGTCTATCGAATACCTTTACAAACGTTATGTTTATGATTAGTTATCTCAACCTTGACCAAGTGGAGATACTTGGAAATTTTAATAGCGATTCATCCTTGGCCGAGTAGGGTGCTCGGGAGGGAATTAATGAATTCAACCTTAGCCAAATAGAGATACTTGGGAAGGAATTTTAATAATGATTCATCCTTAGCCGCGTAGGGGTACTCGGGAGGAAAATTACATAATTCAACCTTAGTCAAGTTATACTTAGGAGGGAATTTTAATAACGATTCATCCTTGGCCAAGTAGGGATAATCGGGAGGGAAATTAAATAATTCAACCTTAGCCAAGTTATACTTGGGAGGAAATTTTAATAACGATTCATTCTTGGTCGAGTAGGGGTACTTGGGAGGGAAATTAAATAATTCAACCTTAGCCAAGTGATACTTGGGAGGAAATTTTAATAACGATTCATCCTTAGCCGAGTAGGGGTACTCGGGAGGGAAATTAAATAATTCAAAAGATTTGCTTGAAAGAAATCCATAACTGAGAAGAAGTGAGAAGTAGTATTTTATTGATAAGGTGCCTCGTTAAAAACCTTCCTAGGAAAATCCCTTTTCACTTTTTTTTAAGAGGACAAAACATGGGCGAGGAAAAGAATACACCGAATACAAATTATAAGTTTTTAACTAAAGTCATGCTTCAAATGTGTAACATTCCAAGTTCTTGGTATAAGCTTTTCTTCCAATGTTTCTAACTTGTATGCTCCATTGTCTAATCTTGTCGTTACCCGAAAGTGGCCTTCCCAGTTAGCCGCTAACTTTCCCTCTCGCCAATCTCTTCGCGCATCTCCTGTTACTTGCCATACCAAGTCATTTTCATAAAATTGTCGTGGATGGGATTTTGGAATTAAATTTTCTAGCCATCATTCTTCTGCTGGCCTCGGTCATAATTGCTGCTTGGCCACGCACCTCAGCTATTAAGTCCAGGTTGACGGCCAAAGCCTCGTTATTAGCCGATTCCTCGAAATTCTCCCTTCGAAATGAAGGTTCTCCAATTTCTACCGGCACCATGACATTAGTACCATAGGTAAGCCAAAAAGGAGTTCCCTTTGTTGTGGTTTGCGGTGTACACTGATAAGCCCATAGCACCTCGGGCAGCTTCTTTGCCCATTCTTCTTTTGCCGAACCTAATCTTCTTTTTAATTCATGCAAGATCACTTTGTTTGCGGCCTCAGCTTGACCATTAGTCTGAGGGTGTTCCACAGACGTAACCCTATGCTTGATATGAAGCCCTTCCAAAAATTCATTGAATTGCAATCTGTTGTCTGTTATTAATGCATGAGGAAGGCCGAAACGTGTGATGATATTTTTCCAGGTGAATTTATGTACATTGTTGGCTGTGATGGTGGCAAGAGGTTCAGCTTCAATTCATTTGGTAAAGTAATCCACAGCGACAATTAGAAATTTACACTGCCCTTTGGCTAAGGGGAAAGGGCCGAGGAGGTCCATACTCCAAATGGCAAAGGGCCAAGGAGAGCTAATAGGGCGGAGGGTGTCGACATGTTGATGTAAGTGTAGATCGTGTTTTTGACAGGGGATACATTTCTTTACAAACATATGGCAATCTTAGGAGAGTATTGGCCAATAGTACCCAGCTCTGAGTATTTTTGCCGCCATGGTTCGTCCACCCGAATGGGTACCACAGATACCTTCGTGAATCTCCCTCATGACATAATTTGCTTGGTTGTCGTTAAGGCATTTAAGCATAGGTGTTGAAATCCCTCTTCTGTACAAGTCTTTTCCGAGAAGGAGGTATTTAGCTATATGCATTCTTATTTTCTTGGCCGAGTCTGGATTATTTGGCAGGCTGTTGTTGGTAAGGTATTGGATAATGGGGGTCGTCCAATTGTGAGGCATATTTTCTATATCCATGCACTCTTTCTTAGCTATGCTCGGTTTAAGGATTTCCTGGTGAATTACACTTTGTAATTGCCCAGGTTTTCTTTGGCTGGCCAACTTAGCAAGCTTATCGGCTTGTTCATTCATTGTTCTCAGGGTGTATCGAACACATACCTCGTCAAACTCAGCTTCTATATTTTTAAATTCTTGGTAATATTGGAGCATGACCGAATCCTTCACCTGATATGTTCCATTGACCTGTTCGGCCACTATCTTTGAATCACTCCAACAAGTGACACGTTTTACTCCAACATCCCTTGCCAATTTGAGGCCGGCTAGGAGGGTTTCATATTTAGCTTGATTATTAGAGGCTTTGAATCCAAACCGAATGGATTGTTCAATTGTTACGGTGTTCAGGCCTTCAAGTATAATTCCTGCTTCACTACCAGATTGGTTTGATGATCCATCAACATACAGGTTCCACATATCCCAACTGGCTTGTGGCTGAGTTGTGAATTCATTGACCAAGTCGACAAGTACTTGAGCTTTAAGGAGGCGTCGGCTTTCAAAGTGTATATCAAATTGAGATAATTCTATTGCCCATGCTACCAACCGACAAGCTAATTCAGGTTTTCTTAAAATTTTAGACATTGGACAATCTGTCCGTACCACCATCCGATGACTCTGAAAGTAGTATCTTAATCGACGAGCTGTGTGGACTAGGGCAAACACCACTTTCTCCATTAATTGATACCGGGATTCGGGACCTTGGAGCGTTCTGCTGATGAAATAAACTGGGGCCGGTTCAGGTATTTCTTGTAACAGGACGGAACTGATGGCATTATTCGACACCGCCAGGTAGATAATCATCTCTTTCTCAGGGTGCGGTTTTGTTAATACGGGTGGTGCTGTGAGCATATTTTTATATTGGGTGAAGGCGGCCTCACACTCGTCATTCCAAGCAAATTTTTGAGATTTTTTAAGCAAGTTAATGAAAGGCCGAGATTTGTCTGCCATTATGGGACGAAACCTGGAAAGGGAAGCGATCCTGCCGGCTAGTCGTTGAACTTCCTTGACATTCCGAGGACTAGCCATCTCGATGATAGCTTGACATTTATCAGGGTTTGCCTCGATCCCCCTTTCGGATAGCATGAAACCCAAGAATTTACTGCCGACTACACCAAATGTACATTTTTCAGGATTGAACCGCATCCCATGCCGCCGAGCCTGACCGAATACTTCTTTTAAGTGCATAAGGTGGTGCTCTAATTTGACAGATTTGATTACCATGTCATCAACATATACTTCCATGCATTTTTCTATTTGTCCTTCAAAAATTTTATTCATCAGCCTCTAGTAGGTTGCCCCAGCATTCTTCAAACCGAAAGACATTACTCGGTAACAAAAATTAGCGGAATCAATGATGAATGCAGTTTTTTCCTCATCCGGCGGATACATTCGGATTTGATTATACTCAGAGTAGGCATCTAAGAAACTGAACATTTTGTGTCCTGCTGCGCCGTCTACTAGGGCATCAATGCTAGGGAGTGGGTAAGCATCTTTTAGGCATGCTTTGTTTAAATCTTTGTAGTTGGAACACATTTGCCATTTTCCATTTTCTTTTTTGACCATGACTATATTGGCCAACCAGGTAGAGTACCTGACCTCTCGAATAAAATCAGCCTGTATCAATTTAGTAGTCTCTTCTTTTACTGCTTTTGCTCTGTCGCCTCCCACTTTCCTTTTCTTTTGGGCTATTGGTCTCGCTACTTTATAAACCGAGAGGTGATGACAAAAAAATGTTGGATCGATGCCAGACATGTCTGAAGCCGACCAGGCAAATAGATCAGCATTTCATATCAGTGTCTTCTGGAGCTCTTGTTTTTCTTGGCCAGATAGGCCGACTCCCAAGTAAGTAACCTATTCAGGCTTCGGTCCCAGCTGAAAAGGTTGCTTATTTTCATTGGGCTCAACCCGACACCCTTCATCAGTCTTAGGATCAAGTTCAATATCTACGTCTTCCTCAGACCTAGGGGTCACAATGTTGACATCTCGTTTATATTCTTGGAGTGGTCTGATGCGTAAGCTTGCAAAATAGCACTCCCTCGCTGTCTTCTAATCAGCATGAACTGTGACTATTCGGCCCCTTTCTGATGAAAATTTCATAGCCAAATGTGGAGTAGATACTATAGCTTTAAGTTTGTTAAGGGGTGGTCTGCCGAGTAATATGTTGTATGAGGTGTTCGCGTAAACTACCAAGTACGTGACCTTGATGCGTTTTCCTTCATGCTCTAATCCAAATAAGGTGTAAAGGTCAATACACCCATGAGTCTCCACCCGTTCCCCTGAAAAACCAACTAGGGGTTGTCTTGTATCGGATCCACTCCTTGAAAGTCTTCATCAGTAAATGTAATAGGGGGAATCTGAATCCTGCTACTGAGTGTGATATTGTTGACTGATCTGATTTGCCTCAAATGTCTTTTTCTGGCCGAATGGGTAGGTCCGCCACTGGCAAATCCTCCAGCTATGCTATTAATGACCCTTTTAGGATACTTCTCATGTTCATCGTACATCTAGTTGGAGGTTCCCTGGACCTACTCCTCTGTCGTTCAAGTCTCTTGTCATCGTATCTCCTTGATGACTCAGAGTAACGGTCTCTTCTTCTATTGGATTGACCGACAGGATTTGTCTACATAAAATCTTTTAAATGTCCGTCCTTTATTAATTCCTCTATTTTATCTTTCAGCGCTGTGCACTCTTCGGTGGTATGACCCCTGTTCTGATGGTATCGGCAAACCTTGCTTTTATCTGCCCAAGGAGGGGTGTTGGCACGTCTAGGCATTCTCAGTATTTCTGTGGCCAATGCTTGATCTAGTACTCTAGACCGATTAGTGTTGAGCATAGTGTAGGAAGGATATTTGAGTCCCCTGGACGGCCTTTTAGGTTCATTTCTTCTCTCCTTATTTTCTTGCCTAGACTTGAAAGTTTCTCTCCTGTCTGTATTTTTTGAATTGGACTCCTGGTACATCCGTACCTGGTTTTGGTACTCATACAATTCCTCCATCTGCATATACTTGGCAGCCTTGCTTCTCAACTCATCTAGGTCAACATATGATTTTTTGCATATGCTATTAACAAAAGATCCTGACTTAAGAGCCATTGTGAGGTGGTGCATGGCCACTGCTGGCTCTAAGTTATGGATCGAGAGGCTCACTTTGTCGAAACGCTCCATGAATTCCCTAAGAGATTCTCCCTTTTCTTGCCGAATATTGACCAGCGCGAGGGATGTTAATGGATGAGGTCGGCTTGTGGCGAACTACAAGCTGAACCGTCTTGTGAGGGTTGTAAAAGAGTCGATGGATGAAGGGGGGAGTCGTGTGAACCAACTGAGGGCTGGTCCTCGGAGTGAAGTAGGAAAAATTCTACATCATAGAAAATCGTTCTCGGTATACAAACCGATTTGGGTTGTAAATACGTCCAAGTGTTCGCCGGGATAAGATGTACCATCATATTTTTCTATTGTTAAGCCTCTCCAGTTGTTGGGTAGCTTAGCCTCCAGGATGTGGTGAATGAATGGGCTTCGACTCACTGGATCGTCTCGGTCATTTTTGGCTTCAGATTGAAAAATCTGTTTTGATTTCTCCTGCAACGCCGAGGATTCCCCCTGATCTTGGACGATGGGTGTGGTCTGGGAAGGGATATGTGTTCTTATCTCTTCTCTCAAGTTAGCATTTTCCCTTCGTAGAGCCAAGAGCTCTAGTGCATCCTTCTTTATCTCCTTCTTCATCTCTGTCATTTCTGCTTTGAGCTGCCTCAGTACAGCTAAAATGCTCTCGTCGGTTCCCCCTTGCATCACTACTTCAGGTGTTGGATCATCTGGTGTGACACCCTCCAGCTGTTGACGAGAGGTTCCTCCTTGTTGAACATGTTCTTCTTGCTGGCTTCTTGTTAGTACCATGATTAATCTGAAAAATGAGGCTAATCGTGCCCCACGGTGGGGGCCAAAATGTTCATGTTAAAGAAACACTAGTCTTCAGGTCCTTGTTCTGAAACAGTGACATATCTCTGGTAGTCGCTGACGTAGGGAGGATACCTGCAAAAGGCACTCCGATGCTGAAGTCAAGATTCGGTTCTGAGTAATAAATGACATTAAATAATGAAAAGTCAACCCTTTACCTGTACTTTACCTTCTTTATATAGGCATTGTAATGGGCTAATGGGCCTGTCAAGCTAGTTTTGATTTTAGCCCTTTATTTAAAATAAATAATATCTTGATTATTACCCTAAATTAGGTTTAATTACCTCTTAATCCTGACGAAGGGTATTCGGCCAAATTAGACCGAATAGGTACTTGGTTTCCTTTTTCTACAAGTAGGACTGAGTTGTCCCTATCCAGTACACTACTGGTAAAAAATAAATTTTATCCAGATAAAAATTCCACATCTAATACTAAATGTAATGCTACTTTTAAATAAATATTAGCACTTCAAGAAAGGCGTGTATAGTCCCTCTTATTTTAATAATTTTTTGTCTTAAAACATGTTTTTCCTTTCTTATAAATGTATTAATAACAACAATGTTTAAAAAAAAAAAAAACTTAAATAAGAGTGATAATAGACACTCCTCGATAAGAACTGTATCTAAGTTTTGTATCCCTCAAAGTTTAGTTCGTTTGGTGAACTTTGTCTCACTTTTAGAGGCGTCAAAGTTTTTTTGTGAAGTGGTTAGTTACCTTCGAGGATGTGAGTTGAGTTCCTCTTTGTCCAGTTACCCTGAAAGACAATAGATGAATATGATTTGTGCATACCAAAGCGCAACATGATATTTTGTTTTCCAGGGTCTAACTTCTAACTCTTCTAATCTCTATTTTCGGTTTTGCGCAGCAAAAGTGTGCAGCAGAAAATGGTCAACTTTTAGGTCTAACAGGAGATGAACGAGAAATTGAGAATTAAATCTTGATCTGAAGAATCTTCTCTGAGAAGCTGAGACTTGGAGATTATTTATTCCATATACTTATAATTAGCCCGTCGCAAAGTTTTACGTTTATGCACATACGAAAAGTTGATTTCATGTTTTCTACAAGCTTTTGCAGAAGCAAACAATAGGCTTGTTATAACTTATATGATTAATGGAGCGATGGGTTTCATGATGCAGAAACAAAACATTAGGCTTGTCTAAATTACAAGCATTAGTGCTTACATTATATGTGATATGAAGTAGTAAAATTATATCCAATGGCAGACTAGTGCTATTCTTTCATTGATGGTTGAGCATCACCCTTAACATTATTGAAATTTGAGTAATCTTGTGCTTTTACATAACCATCATATTTATCTTTTTTTTCTTCCCTTCATCTTCTTCTCCTTCTAAGAACTTCAAGAACATATTGTGCAGTGCAGTAAGCAATAGCCTGAACAGTGACCATTGGATTCACACCCAAAGCTGTAGGAAAGACACTTGAGTCTGCCAAATAAAGACCCTCCACTTCCCACGTTTCCCCCATTTGGTTTACTACTGATTCCATTGGATTATTACCCATCCTACAGCTCCCCATTTGGTGTGCTGAACACAGTGGTGTTGAAAGGTCTGTTAAAGACCTTGAACTTTCTTCTTTAACAAACTTCTCAAATTCATGACAACTGACCCTCTTAACATTTATGCTCCTTCCCTTATTATTATGAGTCCCAATTTCTTCAGCACCAGCTGCTGCAAGAATTCTCAGTACCTTCTCAATTCCAATCTTTAAATTCTCTTTGTCTACACCTTTCAACTCATAACTTATACTGGTTGGTGAATTCACAGTTCCTGATCCTTTATCCCTTGCCAATGCAAATACATGAGCTGTTCTAGAAAACTTGCACATTCTATCTTTTAAGTCCATTCCAGAGGTCCATGGCATTAGAATTGAGAACATACCAGGGTGCAATGCAGGTGTTTGGATCACTGCACCATATCCAGATTTGTCAAACTGTGCAACAACTGTAGACATTGCTGTCATAATTCCCCCTTCATAGCTTTTTTTATGTTTCTCTGGCCACAGTTCAGGTGAAGAAGGTTCATCGGGGAAGTAGCCCCAAGCCATTGCCACTGGATGAAGGTGCAAGTGTCTACCTATGTTTGCATTCTTCAAGCCACTTTTTTTAAGCAATGTTGGAGTACTGAGTGCTCCACAGGCTACAATTGTGACCTTGGATTCCACCACACAAATGTCTTTGATTCCATTGTATTCAATTGCAAAAGCCACTCCACATGCTATTTTTCTGTCTCTTCCTTTCTCTTTCTTGTGCAAGACTTGTATAGCCTCACAACCCGGAATGATTGCACCATTGCCTGATTTCACCAAGTCCACTAGCCATGTTTCCGATGTACCCTTCTTCCTTCCATCCTTGCATCCCATGCAGCACCAGCCACAATAGTGATCTGGTGAAGCATTCCTTGGAATGTTATTCACAGGATACCCCATTTCTTGACACCCTCTTCTTAGCACTGCATTGTTGAATCCTTCCTCATTAATCTCAGATTGGACCCCCATTTTCTCACACACAGCATCCATAGCTTCTTTATAAAACTTACTTTCAAATAGTTCAAGCTCATGGCTATCACACCACTCTTTGCATACATGCTGAGGGGTTCTAATGCTAGCTGACCAGTTTATTGCAGACCCTCCACCAACTGTGGATCCTGCAAGTATTAGTACAGACATATCATCTGTTGCAACCAAACCATTGGAAAGGTACATGTGATCCATGCTTGGTCCTTCAAGAAGGGAAAGTTTGTTCCTAGCACGATAGCTTCCTTTCTCTAAAACGAGAACTTTATGACCAGCTTTTGCAAGAACCCCAGCTACCACCCCACCTCCGGAACCAGAACCGACAACCACTGCATCACATTGGATAACTAAAGAAGGAGAGGACATGTTAGAAGCCTTGGTCTTTCGAGGATTAAAAGACACTGAGAATCCAAATTTTCTTAGAGAATCAGTAATGATGTCTCGTGGGTTATTTATATGCACAAGGCCTTTGTAAAGAGGTCCTCTAACCTCTTCATCATCGTTGTTATCATTATCATTTTCTTTTTCCTCTTGTCCTCCTTCTTTTGATGTTCTACGTAAAAAGTGGTTCTTCAACTGTATTTTGAACTCTGGATCAGGTCCACAATACCCAATTGCTTTCCATGATGGGTTTTCTTCTGCTTCATCTAGCTGAAAATGGAATGGTTCTGGCATGATGAGTAAGTAGTTCCAAGCTACCAGAAAATCATATAAATTTGATAATGTGTTAAGCACTTTGTCTATTTTCTTCAGACACAAAGCCTATATGGTATTTTTATTGTGCCGTGGTAGCATCTTGATAATATATGTAAAATACTTCCACAATTTACATCGGATATAAAACCATTTTCAGAAAATAAATTTCGAAAATAATATGTAAATAACTTTCACAATTTAATTTTTCGAAATTCATTTTTTAAAAAGTATTAAATACATTTTAAAAATTTAACTTTCATAAGTGATAAAAGGAAGAATGATCTGAAGTGTAGCAAGTATGTGAAACTATTTCTGAGTTTGGGAATTAATTAGAAAATAGGATATTGTCAACTCTTGGGCCCGAGCTTGTAGTCTACTCTCTTTTTGGGTGAAAATCTATTGTTTCAATCGGCCCAATAAGTTCATAATATTGAACTATGAAACAAGATTCAAAGCCCAAAACAAATATGAAGGCAAGAAATATATGAATTTCCAATAATATTCCGTTCACAACAATAAAAAAACAATATTATGTTCAATTCTATAATTTGGGATAGAGTAAATATATTTTCACTAGACATCAAGCCCCACTGGATAGAAGACCGAAGTCATGTTTGGGAAACTTAAATTGCGATTTGAATTGTTTTATGAAATATATGGTGGCACAGTAGATGTAGCTTTCATCATAATGGAAGCTAAGTGAATGAGGTTCCTCTCCAGTAGCTTCTTTTTCTCGGACTAGCATCATTTACTTTTCCCATCATTGTGGGACACTCTTCATTTTTACCTTGAGTTGTGATATTACCAACACAGCTTATAATTTTAAACTAATGAATACCCTTGAGGGTCTATTTGAATATTCCACAAGGAAAAATTTGATCTTATGGAACCACAGCTCAATTGTGCTCTTTAAGATTTAAAAGCACAGTACATGAGAATTTAATGAGAAGGACACACGAATGACCATTGAGGTGGATAGCATACCTATTTCCTACGGAAGGTACGATTGTAGTGAATATCTGCGAGCTGGGTCAGGTGGGTACAGTCTTTCATTTCATTTGTTTATATACCAATGTTAATCAAATCCTACCATTTTGAGGGTGGAGGGAAACCCCACTATACAATGCATGTGTAGCCCTCATGGGGCCATTTTTGGTATGAAATCCCGTATATATACTGCTAGTTTATATGAATATAACAATCATTTACGGGTCCTACTGTAGTCAGTGACGGATTAAGAAATTTTTAACCGTAGAAATAACATTCACATATATACCATATATATTATTAATATTCTTTAATCAAGTAAGATTGAACCACCTGGTTTATCAATTATTAATATTTTTTGCTAACTTCACTTTTGTTTAAAACTACAACTATTAAAATAGATCACAGCTCATGAGACAATCGAACTCACTGCAGGTTACAGGTGAATCAGGTTTATAACAGTTTGACTCAAGCATTTTGATTTATTTATTTATCCAACTAATTGAACTCACGAGTTAGGTTAAAAATATTTTGTAGTGATATAGTTTCAATAAATGTTAATAATAATTTTTTAAAAATATATAAAAATTTATAAAAAAAAATGTTTTGTTTTTCAACAGGGGCCATGCATTAAAAGATAATCATGACAAATTCGTCAAGAAACAGCTATAAAATATCTCCCGCGTTGACTTACGAGAAGAGCAAGTGAAAAAATATTGTTATGCAAAAGCTGATTACCTGTTACCATATTATAATATTAATTTAATGACATAGGTAGATGGGAGTGGAAATAGAGAAAAATATCACACAAATCCTTGCTCAAATATTGTTAATTAACGCCCTATATATGAAAAAAAAAATTTCCTTTCCTATTTGAGGAATAAAGATGGTCTTATTTCCTCTTTTTAACTTCATCTGTACAACAATGACAGTTTCTTTTTTTTTTCTATTTCTTTGTAATAACATGCAAATTTATAAAAGTGTACTGTAGTATCCCAATTTTTTTTTATAACTATCATATCTAAAAATTTGTATTAATAAAAAATAAATATGAAAAGTAATAAGCAATATATAGTATTATATATAATCATCTATTATTAAATAAAATTATTACTTAAATATATATTTAACTATTATTGATTGAATTTTTTTTTAATCTCTTAAAAATTTTTAAAGGTACCTCAGATTTTATCATTTATAAATGGATACAATTTTATTTCCATCAACTTGTTTCCTTGCCGTCCCTTTCTCTCAACTATACTTAGACATAACATTAATGCTCTCAGTTTTGTAAATACTCTATGTCCATTTTCTTTGACAAAACGCTAGCTAGATCCCATATGAAACAAGGACAAATATTTATCTTTCATATTAATATATAAAGAATTTAATTGTTCCTGTACGAAAGCAACACTAATTAATGCCAAAATGTGTGTGTGTGTGAGAGAGAGAGAGAGAGAAGTAAGAGAAATTAAATGCTCCAAATTGATTCCTTCGTGGAAGGTCCTGCTCTTGCTGCAGTATTGTAATGAGAGGAATTTGTATTTTTTTAATTAATTAAATTGATATAATTACGTCAGAGAGAAATATATATTTTTTATAAAATAAAAATTCACCATGATTAATCATAAATTTTATTAATTAGATTTAATTAAAATTGTAGATTTTTAGATGACTATATCATATTATTCAACAGCACTAAAAGATTCAACCCATATCAAAGAGGCCATTACCTGAGTGAAGAAGACAAGGACAATGAGAAGCTTGATAGTCCTGAAAAACATCCTTAGTAGACGAAAGAAACTATGAGACCAAGATTGCATAGCTTTCTGGCGTTTGGGTGGAGACAATTCAGGGTAGCTATGGAAGAAAGGGAACTTTGTTGAGAGGCTAAAGATCCCACAGAATATAAACGTGCCAAACCATGTAGACAGTAACCATAATGCCAACCGCAACAACCATGTACTCGGGTGTTTCAGTTTCTCACTTATCAATATTCCAAGCTACAATTTTTGAAAGAAAATGCTCAGATATTAGTATCAAATACGATAACAAAAATTAATATAAACTTGTATAGAAGAAAATTAATGTAATCTTGGAACAATTTTACTCAGTAGTGTATATATTCGACCCTAGTAGTGCTTTTGTTTAATTTCTGAGGTTAATTGTAAATTTTGAAATGGCATTAACAATATATGGAGGTTTTAATTACACTGTGGTGGTTGTACGATACGTATACTGTCATCAATAAGACTGAGATTTTATTCATTGTCGCGAGACATAAGAAGCCTAGTACGGTCAACACTGCCATATTTTAAAATATAGAACGAGTATGTGCATCTACCGAACAAATATACAAAAACCTTGTAAAAGTTAAAAAGATAGTAAGCTGAAAGCAAAGAAAGAGGCGAACTTGTTTTCATTTACTCTTTTATCGTTTTGAGTTTTATGAAAGTTTGTAGGTGCATCTATTTTTTATTTCCATTTCTAATCTCAGTTGCATATTATATTATAAAGATAGACAAACTATAAAATAAGGGGATAATACTGAAAGAAATATCCACAAAAAAAAATCAATTTTTTTTCCATTATATAAGAAAACTTAACCTGCTTTTGTCAAAGAAAGGAGGTCATCATATATATATATGTATGTGTGTGTAATTTCAATTTTTATAAAAATAATATAATGTAATTTTATTTTTTATAAATATTGGAATTATTTTTGCTATCAGTTAGTGATAAATAATATAACATGCATCAAATCATACATTATTATTAGACTCAAATCAGTTGACGACTAAATGGATTTCTTGTCAGCATTAAATAATAATAATAAAAAAATTCAAAGAAAAATATTATTTTTGAAAAGCCAGAACAAGGAATTAAGTAAATGGAAGAGAAAGAGATAAAACTTTGAGGGTGCAAGGTGGCAAGTCCTACACGCTCAGGTGTTCCAGCCATGGAAGCTGACATACGGTAGAAGTTGGCGACAGAATCATCGGAGGACCCAACAACGTTGTCTTTGATGGAAGGCAAGATGGTGTCACAGAGAGCAACAAGGGACTTCATCTGGCGAGGAGAGAGAGAGTTTTTAAGAGGTTTCTGTTCTTTCTCTCTCTCCTCACCAACATCGCCACCATCTTGAAGAAGACTAGTGTGTGTGTGTGTGTCAACATTACCGAGCTCAACCACAGTGTGAACTTTAGCCTCATTCGCACCCAAGCCCAAGCCCAGCCTGAAACTACTACTTCTGCTATTGCTTTCCCCACTCTTCTCCATACTTGATTTGTTCCTTTTTTATAATCGCAGCAAATGCTATATATAAGTATGAGGGCAACGCATTCGGTGCAGTTTATATAAATAATAAGCGTCTTTTGTTAAATAGTGTACTTTACGAATAAATAGCAAATTTATTAAAGAGTATGTTAGGATGTTTAAAATATTATGGGGACCAATGCATTATCAAGTTAATTAATGTTTAATAATTATACATTCTTAACTTAAACACCAAATTTTAAAAAAATATATATAATTAATTAATAGTTTGTCATTTTCCTTTTCATTAAAAAAGATCCATCAAAGTTGTACACTTGTAAAATTTATTGTTCAATAAATCCTTAATTTTCTGTGCATAAATAAATAGTCTAAGCTTTAATTCCTTTTAAAATGATCTATAAATTTTATTAATTTTTATAAACAAATATCCAAATTTTTAATTTCTCATCTCAATAATATATATATATATATATATATATTGATTTTTTTTGTTATAATTTTTTTTGTAAAACATAGTAAACCGCTGAATTAAAATAACAAAAAAATTGTTTAATTTTATTATATTCTGATATTTGAGTTTAATTTTAATGTGATATCAATATAAAATTATTTACAAAATCAAATGATTAGAATACACGGACACGGTGAATATAATTTTTATATTAATTATTATAAATTAATAATTCTTACGAATATATCAATTCATGAAGGAATAATACTGTAAATTTTTTTAAAGTATCAATGTAATTAAATTAAATTTTTAATATTTGAAAAGTAATTTATAAAAGTAAAATTAATGAAGATTTTGATTTCAACTAATAAATAATTAGAAATTTTCTCTATCAGTAATTTAATGTCAATTTAATAAAAAAATATTATTTATAAGAATTTAATTTAAACATACTGTCATTGTAAAGTTTGTTTATGAATTATCAATTTATGTAATAATCAATATAAAAACCATATCTACGATATATTTTTATTAATTGATAGTATAAAAATATTTACAATAAAACTAAACTCTATTTGTAGCAGAGGTTAATCTTTTTTTTTTTTTTTTTTTCTAATCACACTTAGTAGTCACTGACTAGCTTGAGAGAATTTCGAACACGATAAAATCTAAGATCTCGTACTAAATAAATTAACCAAACGTAATAAAATTAGTCTATCTACACATGATAAAGTTTAAGAATTAATTAAAATAAAATTAAAATTTAAAATGTCTATTCACATAATCGAATACAATTTAAAGATTGATCATTAGGATAAAATTAAGATTTAAAAAATTCATTTTAAAAAAAATGTGTTTAAGCGACAAACTACTAATTTTCCATTTGCTTTAAAAATCAACGTGCCGTCACATATGCATTAACGCTTACAGATTTTTGTCCACAAAAGGACCTTTCAAAACTAATATTGTCAAACCTGGACCAACACAGTTATTAAACTACTGAAATTTGTTCATAATTTATTAGTTCAAGGAAAGTCAAATCAATAAAATAGCAAAAAATAAAATAAATAATATCAATATATTTTAATAATATATAAATAATAATGTTTTTTTGCAACCAAATAATGACCTAATTAAAAATGTAAATAATGTAACATTTTTAAAAAATGAAAGTAAGTAAATAAAAATGAATTTAACTTGAATATATTTACGGTATAAAATTTTTTATACTATTATCTAATAATAAAATATTATATTAAAACGAATAAATTTTTATAATAATTAATATAAAAATCACCCGTAGTTTAATTAGTTGATAATATTAAATTCTTCACACTCACATTATATGAAAATTTTGTCTAAGAAAAATTAGTTCCTTAATTCTATTTCACTTGAAAACCTCTTTTTCTATCTACGGACAATAGTTGTGTTTGGTCCTGCCTTTATTCATTCTAATCACCCCAAGCTTCTGCGCCGCTAGTAATTGGGTGTGTTTTATGAAAGAACACCAGCAACCTTGTATTATCGTTTATTGAGGAAACACAGAGGATTGAAAAATAAAATAAAACATGCACTAACAAAATAACAGAAAAAGATATTTTCAGAAATAAAATTTTATTTGATTTTTAATTAAATAAATAAATATAATTATCGGTATCTTTTTTCTTCTTAATTTTATTTGCTTTTGAACAAACAAAAGCAGCACTATTAGAGATCTATGGCCTTACGTGGCGTCCATTTCATTCTTAAATTTGAACAGAGACGCTACCATCCTTGTCATGCCGTATTTCGTGGCATCGTGTGCCATGTCACACTCTTGTTACTCGATCATATTCGGAGGTATTTACTTCAGACCCAATTAAAATAGTGCTAAATAGGTAGAGGAGAGAGAAAAAAATTAAAATGTAAAAAATATAATAATAAATTATATATATAAATGACTTCACTAGTCGCTTAACTAGTTATTAGTTTAGTCAAATTGATCATTCTATTCACCTTTTAAACTCTAAACCATTCTATCCATCTTTTAAAACTATATTCTAAACTACAAAACCATTTCTAATTTATTATTTTATATTACTATTTTAATAATTAAGAAATAAACTTTCTTACCATTGTTTAATTGAATCTTAATAGTTTTCATAATTAATAGAAGAAAATGAGATAGAAATAAAACCTTCCACTACTAGAAACACGCAAAATATAAATGAATAGTACATACAAATTTTCATATAAGGGTCAAACTTTATCATATAGTCAAGTTGCCTATTATTTTTTTACCAAGGGTCAAACTTTTGTCTCTTCGGGTGGGTCATATAGTAAAGTTGCCTATGGCATTTTCACAATCAAACTTTGTCTAGTCCAAATAAACTATATACTTAAAATTTTTTTTTGGTTTGTAACTTATTTATTAGATAAGTGTACTCGTCAAAAAATAATAAAGGATTTTAAAATAAGTTCTCAAAATATCATTTCACGAGGATTAATTTTTAATTACTAATTTTTTTTTAATTCAATCGTTTGAGTCTAAAAATGTGAAATTTAATAAGAACTAAAATTAAATTTAAAATTAATTATGAATAAAAGTAAATAAAATAACACATGTCTTAGTTGAACTTATAAGAGAGGGACTTAGGGTATATGAGTTTTCTTATTCAATCTTTTATTTTATTTATCCATTTAACTCTAAATTTGATTTCCTTGTGATTATCAATCATTTATGTAAAAACTATTAATACCTAATGATCATGCAATATTAATATTATTTTCTCTAAATTAATATTTCTAATGATCATGCAAAATATCAATTAAAGAAAGCATAAAGCACCTATAAACTTTTTAATTTAATAATAATTTGAAGATAAAGATTGGTTTGGTCTATCTAATCTTTTGCCTTGTTTTACCCTATAGATCTATTAACTAATTGAGGTATAATCGCTTAACAATATAATTAATTAAGATTATAATTATACACAATAGGATAAAAGCTAATCACGAACGGAAACCAAACATAGATTCAAACTTTAAAATCCCATAAATTCATGAACAATAGTTTTCATAGCCCTAGTTATAGATTTAGTTACTTATGTTAAAGAAAAGAACTAAAACAATCATAAACAAAGCTATAATCAAAAGAAATAACAAACTAGACTATGAGATGAGTTCCCGGTCTTCAAGTACAATCGTTCAAAACTCTAAATTTTGCCAAGAGTATGCTAAAAATCCTGTACAAGAGAAACGAGATGAGAAGTGCATCAGAGAGTAAAAGATAAAATGTAAATGGTGTCCAATAAGATGCTTAAGGTATCTCTTTTATAGGTTTTAAAAACCCAAAAACTCTTTATAATTGTGCTTCTTGCAGATAAGTACAGTCGTGAAAGGCCTTGTTGAAAGGGTATGGGCATGCTGACTGTTGCCAAACTCTGATCTTTCATTAATTTGAGTCCAAAATGCACCCAAAATCCACTTGTTGCCTCTTCATACTAATTTGTACATTTAACATATAAATCAGTGTAAAAAAATTCAATTAAAATAAAGGTTAAACATAAATATATGAGTTGTAGAAAATGGCCTAATTATGAACTTATCATAACCTGTGTCACAAGATTAAAAGTCTAACTCTTCTAGTGTAAAATCTCATTAGTGGCTTTAGCCCCTAAAAAATAAGGCTATCTTTGTGGTTCATTTTGAGGTTAGAATACAAGTGGTGTATGATTAATTTTTCTTAATAAAGGGTTTAAGTTCAAACAATTTTTTAAAAAAAAACTTCATTGGAAGAACTAATTTGCTATGTTGTGAATATTAGTAACTAGATTAAGCGTGTCTTCAATAAAAAGAATATAATATAATATAATATAATATAGACTACAAAAAAGAATTGAGTTGAGAAAAGAAGAATACTCAAAACTATTTTATTAGGGTCATATTATGACAATGACAAAGATAGATTAATCTAATTCAATCATGATAATACATTGATCAAATATAAAAAAATTATACAAAAATGATTAAATATTTGATGGATTCAATTTTAAATATAAAGTTGATAATTTCAACTAAAAATTTTAAAAATACACAAAAAAAGTATTTAATTGTAATTGTATTATTTAGCTTGATGATTAACTCAATTAGGACATGAAGTTGACTAGTAACCCTTTAAAAAATGAAAAAAAAAATTACATAAAAAAATAGATTAAAGTAGTGACAAATTATATTTTGTTCTATCTATAGAAATTTTTATATTATTTTTTTAGTTTCAATAGAGAATTTCACTAATATTTTTAAAATTATTACATATTTGAAGAATTTGGGTGTCATTATCATTTGATAAAAAAAGTTTTATGGTTAAAAACAATAATAGTATGCATAAGTATTCAAACCATTTGGATATCTAAAAAGACAAGCACACAAAAGCATGGTTGTGCAATGTTTTGCACAAATATATGATGTCAAAGAAGAGTTGAAAGTGTAACTTTAGACATGCACAACCATGCATACAAAAAACACACTTATGCACATTGGAACATGAACAATTATGCCATAAGAAATGTATAATGCATATATATTTCTCAATTTAACTAAATAGTATGATTTATGAAAGGA